GATTACACAATAGTTGGGTTTCTTTTTTTTTTCAGCTTTGGCAAAAATATTGTACGTAACATATACAGGCTGATTGCACACGCCTTCTGCTTACACTGTCGCTGAAACATTCTTTCACACACAAAATAAAAGAAGAAAAAAAGAAAGCCACCACCCCCCTGTAAATCAAATACAAATCAATCTAGACTTTGGATACTTCTTTTTCTAAACACCTCCAAATGCACACTCAAACCTTAACACAGGCAAATCAGTACTCATTTTAGATCCAATGTCTGCATCCCAGACATCAGTGGCATTCATAGCCTCAAGAAAAAAAGCCAAAGCAAAACTAGTGGCAAAATTCTTTGTTCACCTTCAAAATAGTGACATATAAGGCTTGTAGTTCAGTAAGGTGGCATCCACTCTAATTCTAGACTGAATCACACCAAAACTATGCCCAACAAACTCAGCTAGCCCAAGCTGCAGGAGCATCCTTCTAGTCCTAACAGCATCTGTCACAAATTCTACAGTGCGGAGTGCTGGGTTTTGCCCATACCAAGTCAGACATGTGGCTATGTTGGAGTTTTAACAGGAACTCTGGCGAAGAGACTGCAGGTTTCTCACGTTAGAGAACCTAGTAAATCTCCTCAGTAAGACATGGGGATTTTAAAAGAGCCAGTAAGAGCTCAATAAAAGGGCAAGCACAGAAACAAGAATTTGACCTTTTGACATTATCCCCAAATAAGTAAAATTTGCTACAGATGATGTTCTCTTCAAACTTCCATCAAAACCTCCTCACACTGCCATCTTTGATTCTGAATTTTGATACTTTTGGTTTTTAATTTAATCATGCAGTAATTTTTGTGGTTGGGCTGGGTTGTTTTCATTTCTGAGACAGACAAAATACTGAAAAGATGACCAATTTATTCTAGTGATTTTAACAACTTCAACTGCACTAACAAAGATGCCAAGTAATTATTATATAATTAAATCAGAAAGATATTAATCTCCGCATTTGTCTTCAGAAATTCTGAAAAGGAAAGATCTAATGAACTATAATGACAAATGTAAACTGAGAGGAATAAAATCAAATGCATAGCTAACTGATTTAGTAGCTGATGCATTTACAAAGACATTATCTGAGAATTTTTCATTAAAAATCCTTACTCAAGTCCACGGAAACAGTGTTTTCTTCTAAACTGGAAAACACTTCGAACCACTTTTTCTACTAGCTCAAACGGCTGCTGTATCTTTGGTTGCACCAATGGAGTGAAATGCACCACAGCCACATCCACCTATATGGAAAAGAAAGATAAATTTGAGTACACATATTCCTTTGGCACAGATTACTTCTCAGTTAACTGGCCAGACATCAGAAAACCAGCACAAGATAGGAAGACATTATTGCGACAGGTAACACAGCTGTGCAGTGACCAGTGTTGTAGTATTGAATATAAAGATATAAAGATTTAGCTTTCAAGGCCCTACATAATTTTAGTCTTAGTTATCTACATATTTCCAATTAGTTCAAATGCCATTAGTACTTGGTTCTTTTTTCCCCATGGCACTTCCTCCATCTAAAGCAACTTCCATATAATCTGGAAAGTAATTAGCACTTCTGTCTTCAGATCCTTCCACAAGACAATTCTGACATAATACACAAATTAGACAATATTTGATATACAGGCTGAAGGGCAGCTGGAGAAAATTAGTATTATAATTAGAAATCAAACTCATTCCCTGTATGTTTTCTGTTGCTCTAGGGCTTTTCTAAAATGTAAGCCAAGGAATTACTTTTCAACATACTATTAAAATGCTAGCCTATTTAAAGGAATGGTAGGTAGAAATAAGTTTGCACTCATCTTAAGTGACCACACAACTCTGTATTTAAACTGTGTATCACACTTAATCCAAAGTTATGTTTGAATGATTCCACACAGGTATATTCTTGTGTAGTTCTAAAATCAGCTTGGTTGACAGAACAGTCACTTTCCCTGTGTCTGAAAAGAGACTGAGGTTATATGTGCACATTTTATGGTTTCTATATGTATATATCTATATGAGATGCAACTACAGAGACACTGTATTATATAGAAATGCCCTGACTTCAGACTTCTGTATTAAAAAAACAGAAGCTGGGCTAAAAATCCAGTTCTGCACAGTAATGAATAAAGAAGTTTGTCTTCCAAACTAAATATTAACAACAATAAAAAGGAAAACATTCTGTGGAAGAGAACACTGAAAATTCGTACAATTTGTACAAGTACTGGTACTGAGTGACTAAAAATTTTTAAGTACCAGATTTTAAAAGATATTCAGTCTCTTATTAAAAGAGTCTGCTAATATGACGGACAATCGTTCATTTTTTAAAAGGTCTGACAACCAATACTGGCATTCTATGAATGCCAATTGAACAGATGATGTTCAATTGGCATTGAACTGAAGATGTGCTAGTTCTGATTGAAATAAGAGACACACACAGGCTAAAGAACAGCTGCTGCTCTAAGCACACACTCAGTGTACCAATTGAGATAGTCCAGATCACGGGGGTACTTGAAAGGTTTTTCCTACTGCTTCAACCCAAACTGCTCATAGCAACCTCTGATGTGGACATATTCTTCTGACACAAAGGTACTATCTATTCAAATTGTTCTTTCAGTGGGAACAGCTCAGCTGTCAAGTACATCTACGCAGTACAACTGCTTCAACGCACAAAGTACTATATTTCAACAGAATCATAAAATCCAAACAACATTAGGTTTTTCATGTAGACAGAACTTACAAAGCTGAACAAAAACACTGGCTAGAGAAAGGAAAGAAAATACCAATTAATGGTGCTGATGAAGAAAAAAAAAGAAACAGAGCATGTTTCCAGCATTAGCACTACTGATCTCAAGTTTATGTTACTGAATGTTTTTTCTCTACTTGTCCACCTTTTCTGAGAGCTAGAGTTAAGAATAAGGCAGAAAAACCACTTAAAATTACTAAAATGTGAAGCACAAGAACTTACTTAAAAATCAGGTGACAAAGAAAACTTGACATATGGAATCTGCAGTGAAATGCACATACATGTATTTTCCAAAACAGATTTTTAATTTTCAAGTATTCATAGCTTCTGCCTTTGCCACAGGTTGCTGTTACCTATGAGGAAGACCATAGGAATACAGAAAAAACTTGTGTTCTCACTAAGTGTAAGAAAAGTTAATCTTTTTGAACAGAGAAAATACATACTTCACATGTACTAAGGGCTTATTTACACATGCATTTGTGTATTGTCAAGAAATAAATCTAGGTATTTCCCCCACAAAATTAGGGGTAAGAAAGAAAACAACCAGAGACCCTGTGGCATCTCCTAGTCACCTCAATTTTGCAGAACTGCTCATGAGAAACGAGGGTTCTCTGGGAGTTAGAACTGTGTCTTTAACAAAAATTTCTGAAGGAGAAAAGAACACAATCTAGATGCAGTGTACCACTTCAGAGCCAAACAGCTCAATTTGCAATCTCAAGGCCAGTGGGCAATAATTTCTGACTCTGAAACAAAACACAACACTTCTCAGTTCCATTATAGACGCTGTTTTCTTTGGACCCCAGGAAAGCTGCCTGGTTACTATAGCAACAGATATAGGGGAAAACTTTTCACTTGTAATTGGTCACTCCTTTAAAATTATACATGCTATTTTTCATTAACCTTTTTAATATGCATAAAATAAAGAGTAGAATTATGAAAGCCAATAAAGTACACAAGAATATTTAAAATACACAAGTCAATTTGATGACAATTTTATGAATAACACTTTTCACCCCACCACGTATGTTAAAAATATTTACAAAATAGCACTCAAATCTTACAAATTAATGAATATGAAAATCATTCAATTGATCTATCCTGAACTGTCAATAGTACAGCAACTATTCATCCCTTACTGTTTTAGTGTATCTGTACAATGAAGATTTATGTTTTGGTAGGGTGGGAGGAACACATGACAGAGTACAATTTAATCCAGGCAAGTCTGCTGCCTTGCTAATGAAATCAACACTTTAAATCAGAATAAACTCAAGTGAGACAGTTTTTACTAATTGTTGACAGTAAAAGTCTCATAATGGGCAATACATGTATCTTGGGACAGGGCTATATTAAAATCAAACCCACATAACCTTTTCTCAGGCTGCAATTTACTCATAGGGAACTGAAACCTAAGCAGAACATATTACAACTTCATTAAAACAGACTGCTTGAGATCCTACTGAGATAGTTCTAAGCCAGCACTTTCACAAACCAAGTGTTCAACAGCAGCATTTTATCTATCTACTACAGACAAATATTAAGTCTAACATCAGACACGTGCATCTCAGAGCAAACTTGTTCCTATACAAGAGTTTACTTTTGGTTCACTTCCAGCACAAAGTAACTACACCACTCACTAACAGCAATAATGTCTGGTAAGAACAGTTTTGTAATAACTCCATTCACACTGGGCTCACAAAGAGAATCACAGGAAACCAGAAGTCAGTGTGTATCATTGCTGCAATGAGCAAGACTTTTCTCCTAACTTCTTGATTTCGCACACCAACTTGTCAAGCCCACTTCTCCAATGTGCTGCAGTTACCATATAACCTTTATTAGTAGCTTTATTCCTTCATTCTTTTATACAGCCTCATACAAAGGTAATAAGTTATAAGATGACCTACGGAAGGCTAAAGCTATCAGGAACAGATAAATAAAGCCTGCAGTTGAAGAAAAATGCCCTGCTGTTTCAATTACAAATTAAAATAAATTGCACAGTTTTTTTCTAGGAAATTTAAACTTTTAATAAGATTATCTGTGATAAAAAAACAACAACTGACAAACAAAAAAACTCTTTGGCTCTCAGTGCAACTTAAATGATTTCCTCCCCCACTCTGTAAGTCTACAGTTTCTGGATTCTCAAGATTTTACTTTGTTTAATCACTGTTCACACTTTTCATCATAGAACCTGAACATCATTATGTATTTAGGACTAAGGGCCTCTGTCTGTTTTATTCCATAATCTCTTTGCTTTCCCTTACTGAGTGTTTTTCAAACAAAACTCATTAAACAAAGTACTCCTTTATTCTCGGGTAGATGGAACTAAGAGAGAGAACAAACAGCAGTAATGCACTTGCTGTAGAGAACAGAAAAAAAAAACATTCCAAGAAATTTTGTTAATACATGCCAATGCAGTTTTATATGAGAAGGGATAGTTCCATTCAAGAGAAACTGCATTTTCGAGGACATCTACACTGAAGAAAACATCTCAGACCTCACATCCAGCAGTAAGTCCTACACAAACAGGAATGAAACATGACTGTATTTTTAATTACAACTGTAGTGCTTATACTTGAATTTATCATGCCTTTAACTTGGTTCATCCAATTAAATATAATGTACGGCTACCATTTGCAGTGTTTTGCATTTATGCTTGCATGTTTGTATATACTGAAATTTTAAAAGGGAAGCAATGAAAAAGGCTGACTCAAGACCCTAATTAGCTGTTCCAGAATATGCTTTTGAATGAGTTTTGAGCTACCTGGACGTGTCAGTTCCTTCTGTAAAAGGAAGTTAAGCCATCTCTTCCATGGGCCTGTACAGCAAATAATATGTATTTGCCACAGCACTTCTTCACAATCTGAACAAAGTGGAGGGATTTGGAAATAGGCAGTTCTTTGAAGTAAGATTTTAAAAATGAGTAGTTGTTAATATTCTCACCTTAACTATAAGCATTTTTAATATATATATGCTGGACAGAGTTAACATATCCTTGAACCATTACCTGAAATAAGTACAATATAAAAATTAAAGTATAAATATATAAATTATATATTGTATAGAGGATCTAGAGGATTATATTATACTATTATAGAGAATAATAATATTAAATATAATTATATTTATAGATGATAAATATATTAATTAGTTAAGTAGTGGCACTAAAGACTGATAGAACATGTTGATCAAAACCTTGTTGTCTTATGTATCATGAACTGAAATGAGTACAATGCTACAGATATTTTGCGTTCCACTTATTTCAATTTTATTGCCTATTATTATGTTTTTTCAAAAAATTCTAATGCTAAAGACCAATTTTAATGTTATTGTTCATATTTAGATAGAATGTCTTAGCATAATCCAGACTGAGGTTTGCCCTTTTTTTATTTATGATAAAAGACAAAACCTGCCAATTATACAGCCCCACGCAAAAGGCAGGGCAGGGCAACACTTCTAATCCTCCTCTCAGACGTTTCAAACCATTGTTCTTCATCTGCTATCCCAACAGTCTCCAGCTAATGTAACCGCAGAAGTTCAATCTTCCCAGGTGCACAGTTATCATACTGCCTAAAATGTTCTCATCCATCAAATGAAATTGGACTCTTTATGCAAGAATAGCAGGGAGCTTTTTTTAATGAATTTTTAAAACTGCCACTTCGTGGAAAATTTGCAAATTATTTCAGGCAGGAGACTGATTAAAAAAATACACTTCCACAAATGAGTTGTTTCATACCAGTATTAAAAAAAACACATTTTAGAGACAGAAGTAGATCATATTCACTCTTATGACTTGCTAAATACTGCTGCTCTAAGTCAAGGAATGGGAATCACTGACTGAAAATAAAATATTGATTTAGAAAAGTCACATGTGACTAAATTGTGAACATACTGCAAAAACTAAATTCAATTTTATTCTCCTTCAAAACTAAGAAATTTTTTAACAGTTATTAAAAAGTTGAACAGGTAATATTTAAGTAACAGGAATAAAGGGTTACCTTTAACCACAGTTTACACAAGAGCGAGTATAACAGTATACATTACTATAAAATGGTCAATAGTCAGGAGCTGACAACAGCCATCAACACAAATAAGGTACTTGAAGAATATATTTTCTACCAGTGTTTTTCTACCGCAATGACTTCTAATCTGCAAGTTCCTAATGTTCCCCTTACAATGCATATTTATCTAGTAAGCCTGCAATCTGTCTGCTATTACCAAAACCAACTGCAGTAAAATAAGTTTTGCTTGATGGCTTGCAATCATGTATGAAAGGGCAGCAGCTCCTTTTTACAAGCAATTCTAAAACACTGTCCATTTGCCATCATTTCTGTTCAAGTACCTTGTGTACAGCTGCTGAGCTGCTGCAGGGTCGCGTTCAGATATTCATTCAGATAGCTCTGATTTTAAAGGCAAGCGTTTTTTGTTTGCTGATTTCTTTTTCTTTTCCCCCTCGTACTTCTCCTCCCCCCCCCTTCCCTATTACACAGAGGGCTACAGCTTGGCACTCATTTTCTCGAGAGAAAGGACAGACAAAAGGTGACAGCAGATAATCATCATGGCATCAGCAAGTCTGCAGTTCTTTGCTTTTATTCTGGCTTTGTTTGGTGTTTTTGGAGATATCGCGGCCACCCTGCTACCAAACTGGAAGGTAAATGCAGATGTTGGCTCAAATATCATAACAGCTATAACACAGATGCAAGGACTTTGGATGGACTGCACATGGTACAGCACTGGGATGTTTAGCTGTACCCTGAAATACTCCATTCTCTCTCTCCCCGTCTACATCCAGGCTGCACGGACCACCATGGTACTGTCTTGTATCCTATCAGCATTTGGGATCTGCATCACTACAGTTGGAATGAAATGCACAAAGTTGGGAGGGGACAGTGACAGCAAAAGTCACGCTTGTTTTGCTGGAGGAATCTGCTTCATTCTTGCAGGAATCTCTGGATTAGTACCAACATCCTGGTACACAAGAGAAATTATTTCAAATTTTCTGGACCAGACCATTCCAGAGAGCAGCAAACATGAACCAGGAGGAGCAGTTTATACAGGATTCATTTCAGCAGGCTTTCTGCTTATCGCAGGTGTGATTTTCTGCACTTCGTGTTTTAACAGGCAGCAAGGAGGATGGATTTACCCTCCAAAGCAGCACCATTTCCCATCCACAGAGCAGGAGAGCAATGAAGGTTACAATCTGAAGGACTATGTGTAAATAGTTATTTCTATCCATTCAAGGGGTTTTTTATGTGCTAAGTGTAGTTTGATTATTTCAAAGAATGTATAACCAAGCACTTAACTTTTCCTATAACTGGGCTGCAGTTATGTTTATAAAAGGTATTTAATTCATAGGGGCATCCACAAAAAGGAAAGAAGTAGAAAATTATACTTGTCTGCTACAAAAGTACTTTATTTTGCTGATTTTTCAAACCATGCTGACTTTCCACGTAGCATTTACTGAAGAAAAAGGAACTATCTTCAAACATAACTGACTGTACAATTAAGGTACCGATGTCTTGTTATAGGAAAGATGATTAAAGACTAACTGCTTTCTATTTAGCGAATCAGGCTTTCAATAATGTAAGATTTTATAGTGTATTTTACAGTTTTATCTCTATCTTAGTTATGATGCAAGGAAAAGAAGCTCAAACATTATTTGTCCAAGAAGCCCAATTCAATGGTTTTTAAAAAGCAGACACATCTGCCTTTCATTTTCAACTGTAAATTGCCTCGGTAACTAGATTTCATAACAAACAAACAAACAAACAAACACCACCACCAAAAAAACCCAACAAATAAAAAAAACCACAACAAAAGCCCATGGCTCCAAACCTTAGCTGCACTGTATACTGTATACTGATATATGCATATCAGACTGAATAATCAGCAGTACCATTTAGATCTTGCCAAACACAGCTCTCGCACCCCAAACTGCCACCTGCTGTGGGTTTCATTGATAATTGTTAAGAAATGTCTGCTGGACATTCACCAATTGCTACTAATCTATCACTGCACAATGAATGTTAGAGGATGAGCAATACAACAACAGAAATGTAACCATAACTCTGAAAACACCTGCAAATTGTAACAAACGGCATATAAACCCCTGTAGGGTCTCTTTCAGGCCCACTCCCATGTACTCTCTTACTGTAAAATGTAGCATACAACAATCATAAAGAGACTGCTCCTTTATTTATTTTCTTAACTCCCTTATTTTGAATAATTATCTTAAATCCCTTAACCTTTTCTTTCACCACACAGATTTTGTTTTGTATTGGTCACTGGCAAGGTATGTTGTATCTAAATACATCCCTAAACAACAACCATAATGATGAAGGAAAAGGGGTACAATTCAGGCCTTTAAATTTAGGAATATGGTAACGCTGGATGAGTCTTTCAATAAAACCAACTGCTATTTATTCTGCGTATTTATATACAACTTTCATTTCCCATGTTACTAGCCTGAAATTTGCTAAAGCAGTATGAAGGAGCCTAAACATTATATGTTCATTAAGTTGGAAGAAGTAAGATCTTCTGCTATAGCATTTTGGAAAGTAGACTGTTTTATGAGCTTAACATGTACAGAATCTATTCACAGAGAGTCTTCATTCTTCATACACAAAATGGCATTACATCTGCTTTTTTTACGACCGTTACAGCCATTTGAGTTTCCTATGTATTAATCAAGGAGTTTGTTTTGTACTGTTCCTAATATTACTATCACCAGTTATTTGGTATTGCAGTCTTAACTATGACCAAAAAGCCAAAATTTCTTTTCTTAGACACAGTGTCATAGAGCACCGTTCCATTCCATAAACCAAGTCTTTTATGTCTCAACATTCATAGTATTGTTGAAATAATATTTATACATTGTGAGAATTGAGGTAAACAACTCCTTCTCACAAACATGCATCTCCACCTTTAATAAGGGGTTTGACATGACACTTAGATGTGATCATTGTTATGTAGGTTAATTAAAATTAACATCTGTAAAATTATAACCAAAAGGCATCAATTTACAGGAGGGCATAAGAGAAAGGTAATAATTGCATCCTATGAGCAAAATGAAGTATTCATCGGTTACATGCACTAGAGATTTTTCTTCCTGAAACTTTATACAGAAGTACCTGAACTTTGTATAGCTATGAAACAAAAAATCAAGCACTGAGCCCTTCATTCACAACATGCTGAAGGACCTTTCCAAGGAAACAGGTTCTATGAGAAGATGTACTGAGAAAATCAATCTACAACAGGAGTTTGAAGGAAACAAAATATAGTGAAAACAGGTGCCAGTTCTGTCTGAAAAAATTGTTCTTTCTGTATCTGCAGTATAAGCAATTCTTGTTTTAACTCAAAGAAATACGTTAAATAAAAAAATGCTTGCATTTAGTGGTACTGCTTTTTTATTCAACAGAGTACCAACTAACTGTAGGATGTGCTTAAACTAAGATATTTGTCACAACTTTGTAAGTTACTTCTCTCTTGGTCAACTATGGCCTTTTCAGTACAGGAAAATGGGAATATCAGTTATAGCTTCCCAATTTTGAGACACAGGCTGCACAAAACTTTTGACTACACTAGCACTACTAATACTCAAATTGCATCTGCCATTGAGAAACCACCACCACAAAACTGGAATTTTGTGATAAATGAGAGAGAATAACCTTCCAAAGGTTCTCAAGAGACATGCCTGAAAATCTCTTGAGAGAGACTGCAATAAGATGAAATGGAGATGTAATGAAGAGCTGAATCAACCAGTTTAAGAGGGACTTTAAGAGGCTGCAAGTTCATTTCTGAAACAGAACAGCAGTTTGACAGGACATAAAAGAGAGTTGATTTAAATTAGATATAAGGAAGAAAATTTTTACAATGAGGGTGGTAAAACACTGAAACATATTGCCCAGACAGATGGTGGCTGCCCCATGCCTGGAAACATTCAAGGTCAGATTGGACTGAGCTCTGAGAAACCTGATCTAGTTGAAGATGCTCCTACTCATTGCATGGGGATGGGAACTAGATGACCTTCAAAGGTCCCTTCCAACCTAAATATTTCTATGATCCTATGATTTCCACATGCATTCAGGGGAAACAGACCTCCCTTAATGTCAGGCACAAATTTTTACAAAAAAAACCCCAAACCAAAAAAACATTCTTGTCCAAAATAAGACTAATTTATTAATTTTTGACCCCTGTAATCATATGTCTATTAATAAAAACCAGTGACAGTAGATAAGAGGACAACAAAGAGACTGTTCTCTACTCACTCTGCCTCACAGACAGGAAGTAGAAAAGATGGTTACTTTTTTAAACAGGCAAAGGGATATAGGTGACAAAGTGCTATAGCAATCAGGAGGGAGTATAATATGCTAAAGATGACTACGTTGAAACAAAGATTTATAAACATGGTAAAATTAGAGATCTTTGACAAAGATGACAAATTAAAAGCAGTCTTTCAAAAGACCCATCAAATTCTCTAGGCACAATTCCCAAACTGTTTATAAATGCAAAATGTAAAACAGCAGGCTTTCTAAAAATGCTACAATAGTAGCAGACTATCCTGCCATTAAATCCTAATCTCCCTCTCCACAATCACCCAAAGAAATATGCTGATCTTGCAGACAGGTTTGAAGGTCAAAGACAAATTCTGAGGAACCAAAAAGAAAAGCAACTTCTTAAGAGTAAGCACACTTGGTTTACAGGAATTTCACATCACTCCACTTCATAGCGTGGACATGTTGAAATAGAGCAGCCAACTGTGTTCCTTACTCAAAATGAGATACGTTGCTTGACTGACAAATTAACAAAAAAACCCCATATAAATACAGCAAAACCTACCTCTGGCTTTGGAACAAAAGCTTCACCTGGAATTATGAAACAGTTTTCAACACTGCAGAGATGCTGAGCCATAATGGACAGTCTGCTACGTTGTTTACCTCCTGGATTAGCTGTAAGCCTCTACGGGAGAACCAAAACATGTACATCAGTGATACTGAATTGACCAAGGGATCAGTTACATTAAAGCTTGATTATCAGTATAATCAAATTAGAAAAGCCACCACTAGTTAATAGTTAAGAACTCACATCAAATTGTATGCCTGGTTGATCTAGAGTTTTTTTTCTCCAATATAGCAGCATTTCACTAGGATACCATGCTGATTCACAACATTAGTCCTGCAATCAAATGCACATGAAAAGGAGTTCCTTGAACTTCTGCAGAACTAAATGAACGCCAAAAGAATTTTGTATGGACACAGGAGAAAACTAAAACTATTCTGACTGCAGAATTCAGAACAAACATTACACCATCTGACAGTATTCTCACGTCCTTTCCTTCCATTGTTTCTGTATCAAATATTACTACCTTTTTTCTTCTTCAAGATGAAGCAAAGCTCCATAAACTCAAGATCAGCTAGAAACCAAAATTTCTTCATTATTAGCTGGTCTACATGTACAATACTTGCAAGGAAGCTGCATCTACTTTACATAAATTTAGAATGCCTAACGTGAGAGCATTTAATACATAAAACTCAATTTAGTAACTCTCTGATTTTCCCAAGAATTTTTTTACAAAGACTATTAAAATACTAGCCTGGTCAGAGGTTTTCTACACTTTTGTGACCAGGCAAGAAATACATTTTATGTGCTTTGCTAGCACAAACAAGATTTAAACACAAAAAACAAGTCTCAAATGATAAAATACATTACACTAACTCTGCAGAAAGAGAATTTTGAAGATTCCTGTTCTTCTTTACCACCACCTCATAAAAAATAAAAACTAAACCCCAATTTGCATATCCGGTAACATCTGTACATCATGTAGTTTCATATAAAAAGCCTACTCATGAAATGCTGCCATGCTTATAAAATATATCCCTGAAAAATAAAACTAAGCCTATTGCTGAAGATTCTCATTTTTTTAAACAACTCTTCTGAAAGGTAGTTCAGCACAAAGCAAATAAATACTTTTCAACGACTTTTTGGAAAGAAAGCTCAGTGATTCTTTTTGCATATGCCAGCATTTAAAACTAGCCTCATTGCTGTTTCAGAGGAAATGTAGTAAGAAAAAAAAAATAAAAACCTATTCACTATCATTAGCATTCTCTGAAAAAAACCCAGACTGCAAAGTCTAACAATGCAGTAAGATATGTGCTTCCTTATCCTCCACAGTGGAAATGAATCTGACCTAATGGCAACACTTGTAGTCCTTCCAATGCC